TGTTTTTGTGTATGGTGTGAGGGGTGTATCCTGTTTCATTTTTCTGCATCTGGAAATCCAATTTTCCCAACACCATTTATTAAAGAGACTTTTCTTTCCCCATTGAATGGACTTAGCAACCTTGTCAAAAATGAGTTGACCACTGATGTGTGGTTTATTTCTAGACTCTCAATTCTATTCCATTGGTCTATGTGTCTATTGTTATACAACTACCAGGCTGTTTTGATTACTGTAGCTGTATAACATGTTTTAAAATCAGGAAGTGTGAGTCCTCCTATTTTGTTCTTTTCTTTCAACATCGCTTTAGCTATTTGGGTCCTTGTGCCACTCCATATATAGCTGAGGACTGGTTTTTCCATTTCTGTAAAGAAGGCTGTTGGAATTTTGATCGGGATTACATTGAATCTATAGATCGCTTTGGGTAGTACAGACATCTTAACAATATTAAGTCGTCCAATCCATGAACATGGAACATCTTTCTATTTATTAAATCTTCTTAAATCTCTCTCAGCAGTGTTGTATAATTTTCATTATATAAGTCTTTCACATCCCTGGTTAAATTTATTCCTAGGTATTTTATTCTCTTAGATGCTACTGTAAATGGAATTATTTCCCTAATTTCCTGTTCAGATTTCTCATTTTTGATGTATAGAAACCCACTGATTTTTGTTTGTTGACCCTGTGCCCTGCAACTTTGCTAAATTCCTCTATCAGCTCTAAAAGCTTTCTTGCGGACTCTTTGGGATTTTTTACATATAGGATCATGTCATCTGCAGAGATAATTTTACTTCTTTTTTCCCAATACGGATATTTTTTATTTCTTTTTCTTGTCTTATTGCCCTGGCTCGGATGAACAGAAGTGGTAAGAGTGGGCACCCTTGTCTTGTTACTGATTTCTAGGGGAATCCTCTTATTTTTAATATACCATGGTTCCTCATAAGACTTTGTTTGAAAAGAGGGTTCTAGTATTAAAAAGTGCTTAAAAGCCTTTCATTTACTGCATCTGATCACAATACTGCTCCCTTAAATGAATGCTGAACACAACTTTGAGACCTGGTCTGAAAAATGATAGAAATAAAGTTTATACTTGTATTTTTAGGTCTGTGACAAAAATGTCTGATTTGCCAGGACATACTGAACAACAACAATAACAAAAAGAATATCCCTTTTGTGAGAAAAGGTAAGCAATAGCTTTCCATTTCAACTATGACGCTTTTAAGCATTATGTTATACTTTAAGAAATGAGAGCCAATTTATCTTTGCTACACTGAAATCTCCTCACTGTTTGGCTTCCCTGTGTTAAAAAGAAATGGGAATTTTTTTTTCAACTGTAATTTGATTTTTCAAAAAACTTACAGCCATCCTAATTTCAACAAAGGAGTCTTCAGAGGAGCCACTTGAGTTCAGCTTGAGTTGTAATTCAGATACAATGCCCAGCAAATCTGCTTTTTCAGCTTGAAGGCGAATCACCTGTGTCTTCAGCTGTTCCATTTCCTGTTCTGGCTCTGTCTTGGGAACCTTAGAGTCACCAGGTGGGTTCTGGAAAAGACAAGGAAAGTGAAGCAAATTACAATTCAAACTAAGGACAAGGCCATCAAACTTAATTGTACCCCATACTCATTTGACAACACAGTTTCTCAACATCTTTGTCCCCTATACTTTGAAGTAGAAAACTCTTGCTTCTACTTGGTAACTTATTTTGACATAACATTTAATGGAAAGTTTTACCTTATTTGATAGTATTCAAATAAAAACTTAAAATATCCTATGACAAGAAAGAAAGGCTTCCTCAGACACTGGAATAATGTGATATAATGAAAATAAGCAACTAGACTCTGGCAATAGTAGACTCATAAGTTGCAGTCCAAAATTCCAGAAAATAAGAACAAAAGCCTCCATAACTCAATCTTCCCACAACTGCCCACCCACCTCTTCTCCTATTCTTGTCATGTCTTTTTAGAAGCGAAAACACAGGACTAACATTTTTGGTAAAATAATGGGAAAACACAACGAAAAATTCAAAATTCTCCCAGATATGTAGCTGATTGTTATAAAACTCTGGTGTTTCAAGGTTGCTAAAAGTTAAGTCTGGTGGGAAAAAAGAAAATTCAGGAGCTGGTACCAAGGGTCAAAAAATTAAACTTCAGTCTATATAAACATTAATATTTCACTAATGTCAAGTACACGTTGTGTTCAGCCTGTTGCAATTACTGCATATAACAAAGTCATAAGGCAAAGAATTTGTTTAAAGGCAGTGTTTTTACTTGGGAGTAGGGAGAACAGATCCTAGTCCACACTCTGCTAACCATTGGGTGTAATGCCTTGAGTAAATTCACTTAATGTCTCAGTCTCAATAATCTCGGTTTGGAAAGAAAGAGGTGGCACCAGATGGTCTGTATGGCCTCTTCCTGCTATGACCTTCTAGGTCCCCCTGCATTCTTTCTCAGGAAGCCTTCACTGCTCTTCTGTGTATGGTGCCATGCTTTAATTCCCTTTCCAAAGAAGCACTATATACACTTGAGATTTTCAGAAAATTGCAACACATTATAAAATTGAAATATATAAACACACAAAAAGATTCCAATACTGCAGTGCATAATAACAAATATCTTAAAACCAGCTTTTAAAGAAAAATCTTAACTGCTCTCAGGAAATCACAGCATTATTAAATATCATCTACAGAGTTTCCAAACAAGTGACTTAAGTGACTTTAAACTTGTTGTCAACATTGTCTGAGTTGAGCTTTATCTTCTCCCCTTCCCAGTCTTCGCTGTGATAGATTTCCTAAAAAATGGTAAACAGGTCCAAAGATTCAGAGTAGAACTAAAAAAGCATCAGAAAGGCATATGGATGAACCATAAACCAAGCAGTCCATGAAATATTAAAAATGGTGGCATAGGTACTAACTTGCAAAAAGGAAATTCCCCTCACACTACTGGGATAATGCTCTTCCTTTATTTGGAGCATTCCTTTACTAGGAAACTACCACAGGATTTAGAAAAAAGCAACACACTGGGAAACAAATAAGTTAGATCTGCAAGGAAAGGTTAAAATCCTTTGTAATCTCTCTTAGTAATGACTCATACAAAAGAAACAAAATGAAAATAATACAAGGAAAGGTATTGCTTAGCCTAGAACCAGGAAATAATCAGGTGAAGACAAGATGATGCCTTACTAGGAATCTTCACATTTACCTTCTTGGCCTTTGTAAGGACATTTTGTAGAACGGATTACACGACCTTGGCCTAAGGCTGGGAAACAGAGTTTTAAACAAGTGACCGGGGTCAGAGATATAAGCCCATAACATAGAATCTCAGAAGAATCAGGTTTGTTTTCTTTTTCACAAAAAGGATTTCTTAACTACCCCTGGGAAATCATGAATTTATTTACTTGGCCATAAAACACCTTGTAAGACAACACTGTAAATTTCCCTTCATTATATTACTGAGACCCTTTCCATTCTCTTCTTGGACTAGAACGTCCATGGTTTATTCTCTTTAATCTCTACTCCAACTATGTTATTTGTTATTATCTTTCATCACTTTTGAGCACTTACCATTGACCTTCATGTAACATAATTACTTCTTTGGTTTTTCATGTATTTGTTTAAGGTCTCTATCCCACTGTCCTGAAAATTTGCCCAGGTTAATATGCCATCTTAGAATCTCAGAAGAAAAGGCTATCTAATGACTCTTTGCCTAGCAATTTGTACAATTAAAAGTTACAAAGCGCTCTCTAGAGATAATGATAAAGCACAATTCAGTGAACTGTGACTGAAGTGCCTTAGCCTCACCCTGAGCATCAGAAGGAAGACCTGGAAAGGAAATTTCCTACTCCTTTCCCTTGAGTGTCACAGAACACGTAAGAGCCCCTGATGGCTTTTGGTGGGACTTCCTGTAACATATCTGTAGAAAACAGCAACAGGGATGGGTTAGCAGGAGTGAGAAAAGTCAGAGGAAGCCTTGAGAGCTTTACTAAGTCAGGAAGATGAAGGCCTAAATAAAAAATCACTTCAAGTGGCCCATGAAAGAGGAATTAAATAAGAGGCAGGGAAGCAACGGGGTTGGTCTGGGAGGCACAGTTTGGGAGAAGAAAGCTGATGACCAAGGGTTTTGAAGAGCTAAAAGTGTCTCCTTTTTCCAAGTATCCCACCTCATTAGGGAATCCTGCTTGTAGCCTGCTTAACTTGATCATCTACACTGAAAGAAGCTGTCCCGGGCTCCAGCTTCTGATCTCAACTTTTTCTAGTACTGGAACCTTTTAGGAAAATCTATAGGCAGATGTACCGCATTGGGAAAATCTGCTGCAAAAGACCTTTTTAAAGTGTTAAAAAAACAAAGATGTTGGGAAAATCTGCTGCAAAAGACCTTTTTAAAGTGTTAAAAAAACAAAGATGTCACTTTGAAGACTAAGGTGGGCCTGACCCAAGCCATGGTATTTTGAATTGCCTCATATGCACACGAAAGCTAGACAATGAATAAGGAAGACCAAAGAAGAACTGATGCCTTTGAACTATGGTGTTGGTGAAGAATACTGAATATACCCATACCATAGACTGCCAGAAGAACAAACAAAGCTGTCTTGGAAGAAGTTCAGCCAGAATGCTCCTTAGAAGCAAGGATGGCCAAGACTTCGTCTCACATACTTTGGACATGTTATCAGGAAAGACCAGTCCTTGGAGAAGGACATCATGCCTGGTAAAACAGAGGGTCAGCAAAAAAAGAGGAAAACCCTCAAAGAGATACACTGACACACTGGCTGCAACAATGGGCTCAAACAGAGCAACGACTGTGAGGATGGCGCAGGACTGGGCAATGTTTCATTCTGTTATACAAAGGGTTGATATGAGTCGGAACTTAACAACAACAGCAGATTATCTCAAACAGACAAACTTCTTCTGGAATTTTTCTTCTTGGCCAGAATGTGATTGGCCCCAACAGGTTAAAGCCAACTGTCAGCTCACATCTCAAAAGTCAAGGGAGGAAAACAATGTAAGATATTTTCTTTCACAGAATAGAAAATTATTCATATATCACAGGTAATCGTTTTTTCAGAGTATTCTGAAAAGTATAAAAGATAATTAGATAATGAGCGATTTCCCCCAAACAATGGCCTAATGGAACAATTCTACTCTGCGCACATGGGGTCACCATGAGTTGGAATCGATTCAACAGCAACTAACAACAACAACGACGAACAACAATGCCCTTTAAAACTTAAGACAAGTTGAAACATCAGGTGTGATAAATCTGATGAACAACTGAACACTTCAATACAAATATAAATTTACTAAACCAGGATGTTTTAATTGTCCCATAAACAGGAGCTGATGAGTGACATCACTGATATAAACTATAATGTTTCTGTAAACAACTTTTCATGCTTCACATTATTTCTATCATCCCCTTTTCATTATTTCCTTTCTTTGTTTCCACTATTTACCCATCTAAGAAATTAGAGATCAACAAAGTTCAAAGTAACGTCTCAAGATATATTAGAGATAAATCCTCCCTCAATCAACCCAGTGCTCCACCTTCAGGGCAGTTAAGTTCCAGGTATGGAAGGAAATGAACAGAAGAGGTCCATCTAAATGAACAATAGCTAGTGAGTCCTGGAGAAAGGGCAGGAACTTCAAAGGTGCTCTGATTTATTTTTTTCACTAACATCTCTTTTGGACATTCACTCTCGAGTGTAAGCACCATCTCCCAGGTTCTTCGGGTCAGTAAAAATGCATCGACTTCCCTCTTTATTTGTGGCAGCCCTAAAGCCTCTTCTCATGATGCGACACTTGGCAGACCATTTTTCCAAAAGGAAAATGTAAAGTGAGTAATTTCTCTTTTAGACTGAGAAGAGGGACAAAGTCAATGAATAAAAATTCTGAGTAAAAGATTTTCTAGAAAATGTAAATTTATATCAAAGACAAACTAAAGATGAACAATTGGATGGTTCTAGGCAAAGGTTCTTCTGGACTTCCTATAATACAAAGCACTAATTTATAACCTCAACATTCTTTTGAACGTATGGCTAAGCTTTATAAAATTTTTTCCACCGAAAGAGATTACACATGACCCTTAAATTAGAATCAATCTATTCAGCAAAACACTTCTTCTAAAACAATGCAAACCACCAGTCCAGCCTGAAACATGAAAGGTTTTGATCTAGAAGTCTAGACAAATAACATTCTACTACAAGTATTAATAAAATAAAATCACAACTGATAGTATGCTCACCTCAAATGACCTTTCTACTTTCTCTTTTAGTTTTCCAAGTTCTTCCTTCAATTTTTCATTTTCATGACTTAAGGCCATTAAGCGCTCTTTGGCTTCTTTGCTCTGTATCTCAAAGAACTGGCGTTCTTCCTTCTGTTTCTCTGTCCAGGCGGAGAGCTCCTCAAACCGCCCCTTCATAGCTTGATTATTTAGCTTCATGGCCTCTGTATGGGGTTAAGAGTGAGGGTGTCACACACCAGGGGAGTGGGCTTCATTTCATGAATCAAACATCCCCTTAGATCACTTCACTACCTAGCTCTGAATCAAAAGATGTCATGCTTGGCAAGGGCCCAAGGGTCAGCAGGAAAAAGACTGCAGCAATATGCGTGGTTTTTGCTTCCACACAGGACTAGTGGGTCTAATGTCATTTCTAGTCCTCAAAAGCCCTAAGGAAATAGAAGTGATGTGGGTGTTTCCACTACAACACAGATACCTATTAATCATCAGGGGACTGAGGAGATCTTATCACTCTTAGATTCGAACACTGGTTCTGCCAAAAGCCATGGCTGGAGATACTAGAATACTTTTTCCTACCACCCAAACGAAACCCACTGCCACTGAGTCGATTCTGACTCACAGCGACACTATAAAGTATCCAAGAATGTAAATCTTCAGGGAAGCTGACTGCCACTTCTTTCTCCTGCACAGCGGGTGGTGGGTTTGAACT